GGACAAAGCTATGGACAGAAAGACAAATGGGATATGGAGCTATCCTTATGGGTGAAAACAGGTAATTGGGACGGAAAAAGGAGGTAAGTAGGTAGACCCACGAGAAATCCCTACACTTTGGGTAGTCCATCATTTCCCATCTTACAGTCTATAAGAACCACCCGTTTCAACAGATAGGATCGCTCCAATTTCCCGTTGTCTTCTTCGTCTATAGCTTTCAATAATCAGCCTGCTGCGGGCCGATCATTGAAATGTATAGACAAAACTATCGACAAAGAGGACAAAAGGAATATGGAGGGATCCTACTAATGGAAGCAGGTGGTTGCAATTGACAAAGGAGGTAGAGTAATAGACTAACTAACAGCAACAGAGACCCTTCAGTTAGTTCATAATTTCCTCCCTTAGTCTGTAGGAACTAATCATTTCAACCAATAAAATACATACGCATACTCTCCATACTCTATATGTATTCTTTGTCTATCGCTTTGTCTATCAATTTCAATAATGATCTCACTGGTGCGTTCATTTAACAACGGGCTCGGAGGAGACAACGAAAGGGCACGAGCCTTTGCTGTCCCGTCAGCGAGAGTGGTTTTTGATTGATCCGTTGCGAGGAGCAGGATTGGAGATCTCGTGGCGGGTAACGAGAGCTCGGACTCGGGCGACTTGGGCAGGAAATAAAAGGAGCTGTAATCACGCTCCACGTTCCGAATGCAAATATTTTGCCACGACGCGCGCCGGGTTAGTCTAGCGACCCGGGCGCGTCGCAGCGTGGGTCATATGAAACCACCACCGCCGCACCAAGGATCCGACCAGAGATGAAAAGGAAGTACGATATTATACTGCCGTGCTAAGGACGAACGCCCACTGGAAAAAAGTCGCTTGGATTTAGAGTCCAGACTCTTGAAACATTAACAAGAAAAAATACCCTCCATTCAATCGGATTTTTGCTTGAATCAAAAGGAAATCTGCTTAAATCGGGAGGTTTGTCTCTTCGATTCAAGAAAACATCGGAATGAAAGGGGAGTATTTTTTCTTGTCAATATTATTAAGAGTCTGGACTCTGGATCCAGGCGACTTTTTTTTCCGGTGCGCGTGTGAGGCTTCAGGATTTGCAAAATCTCCTCCGACCAATCACGAATTTTCTGGAAAATTTGTGACTATTTTCCTTCCGTTTTTTCAAGAGAATTGTGTTCGTAATTCTTTTGATCTGAAGTGTCTGGGACTTTCAAGAGGAAAAATAATAGGCATTACTATCTTCAAAAATGAATATTTTTTATCCAGGGCAATTTGGCAACTCTCGAATGTTCATATGACGTTCTTCCTTAGCACGGCAGTAGTGCTTTAATTCCCTGACTCCGCGAATTTAAACTATCGCGAGCAGGTAAGGCGTGCTTGCGGGCACCCGATATAGCGCCTTCAACAACCCGGCGATACTTCAAACACTACACCATTTTACCTCGTTCTGACGTGCTGATTGCCTACACTGCGCCTGCCCGAGTGAGCACCGTATTGTGTAGTGTACGCCGAGCACTGTAAGGAAATTCACTCTGATTCACTCTCAATATATGTAGAACATTTCCTTGAGCCCCTCAGATTTCTGAAAGTCACCCTGAGTATTCTTCAGCGACATAGAAATTTCCTTGCTCACGGATGAGCGACATGGATGCGTAAAGGCATGAGTAAGCGTCTGAGGGCATTCCTCCTAAGCAAACCTTCCCGGTCCCAAAAATATCACTGGAAAATAAAGAAGCTTGGATCTAGAGTCCAGACTCTTAAAAACATTGACAAGGAAAAATACTCTTGATTCAATCGGAGTTTTTCTTGAATCAAAAGGACATCCGCTTAAATCAAGATGCTTGGCTCTTCGATTCAAGGAAACATCGGATTGAATGGAGAGTATGTTTTCTTGTCAATATTATTAAGAGTCTGGACTCTGGATCCAGGCGACTTTTTTTCCGGTGCGCGTGTGAGGCTTCAGGATTTGCAAAATCTTCTCCGACCAATCACGAATTTTCTGGAAAATTTGTGACTATTTTCCTTCCGTTTTTTCAAGAGAATTGTGTTCGTAATTATTTTGATCTGAAGTGTCTGAGACTTTCAAGGAAAAAAATTATTCATGACGATCTTCAAAAATAACTATTTTTGGCAACATTTTAAATTCTTGTAAGGCGTTTCTCCTTGGCACGACAGTATAAGTCTCTGAAAGATCTTTATTTCCCGGATGACTGAACTCCATTCAAAGGTTGTAAAGTTGAGTCAAACAATTTAATTTTTTACAAGAATGTACCTGTGCCCTCTTTGCCAAACATGTTTTTTCCGCATGCGATCCGAAGAAAAATTAGTGAATTTTCATTTAAAAATACCCAAGATTTTCCTGCTAAAATGCAAGTTGCGAGGAATATAATTACGTCCTTTCGTGAAAATGAGACAGTGCAATCACTGTTCAAAACGACAGGAAGTCTGCAACGTGGCAAACACAGATACGTGATTTGGCACTGTGGTTGCTCAAAAGAACGCCTGGATCTCGCCCACTGCGTGGCCATCGCAGCGACGAGCGTTAAAATGTTTTAACGCAGCAAATATTTTATTTGCCCCGCTTCAACCCTGAGCTTTCCCAAGGCGCACCGCACACCCCCTTCAGTTTTTCCTTTGGCCCTTTCCCTCGCCCGACGGTCGCGGTCGCTCAAGTCTATGATATGACGCGCGTTGTCTGAATACCACCCTCTTCCCATCTCGCGCGCCTGAAAAGTCGCTTCAAGATTTTGTTCTTCTGTTATTCCTTAAATCCTTCAAATACCTGAGAGTTCATCTCGACGCGCGGAAGATAGGTGGGTGGCTTAACGTAAGTACTTTGCTCCAAAGCACGTATACTTCCCCTCCCCGAATTCGGATGTTTCCCTTTGAAAAATTGGGCACGCAACCACAAGCACACCGGATCACTCCGACCTCTCTCCGAATCTGCCGTGCTAAAGAAGAACGCCGTATGAGCTTTCAGACGTTGCCAAATTTCCTTTGATAAAAGCTGAATTTACTGAGCAAATTGCGAATATTATTTTCAAACATTTTCAGACAAATTTTTACGCAACTTAATTTAAATATCTGAAAATTTCAAGAAATGTTGTTCCTCGTATGTTGATCCTTGTGTATCATTATTATGTATGCTGTCAAAAATAGACATTTTATCCAGAAATTTGACAACTCTCAAATGTTCATCCGGCGTTCTTCCTTAGCATGGCAGAAATCGTCGTCTCTCGGAAGAAGGACCGTGACTCCATTCAAAGGTGGTCAAATTGACTCAGACAATTTATTTATTTTACCAAAATGTACGTGTGAAATTGTTATCCAAAATTTTCTGATTTTTGCATGAAATCCGAAGAAAAATCATTGAAATTTTACGTTAAAAATGCCTAAAATTTTTCTAGTTAATATGCAAGATGCGAGGGGAAATTGTGCAACATCGAAATAAAGTTGCGTTTTTTCGTGAGGAGAGTGACGAAATGAGCTTTTAAAACAAGTACACGCAGCGGAATGTAAGATGCTCCTTCGTTATCGCGGGTATATGACCCACAATTCAAAGAGGTAGGAGACGATGTTTAAAGGTAATAAGTAAGTCTAGAGTACTCGAAGAATATCTGCGAATCTTGGTGTTGTCTGACGGATTTACTATAAGGTCCCTCGTGGATTGCCATCTGTTACGTTTCTACTTATTTCATTTTGGATATTCCTCACATTTCCCTGATATTTTAAAGTCCACATTTTCGCCTGTAAGCTCATCGGCAATTTTTTTTTTTTTTTTTTTTTTTTTTTTTTTTTTTTTTGGACGAGGGTTCGGAGCGAACAGAAAGATTGTTCTGATAATATATTATCTCGACTGTAAAATATTTTTAGAAATTTCACTTATATGTTGCGGGAAAAAGATTAAATTATGTATTTTTTAAAGAACTTTTGGGATTATCTATACGCCTAAGAATTTGCAATTTTGTTATAAACAAGAAATCTCAGAGCAAAGGCTGTGTTGCACGCAGATGATATCACTCTGTAACAACCTCTCTTCAAATATCATCGGAGAGTAACTATTTCAATCAATATTTAAGAGAAAAAAGGAGGAGCTAGAGTGCACGCTGAGTAAATGCCAAGAAAAACTACGGAATGTTACGGTAGGAATAAATTAAAAATATTCATTTAAAACTGCCTGTAAGAAAATACTTAATACGCCCAATCGTATTTAATTGTTGCAGTAGAGCTAGCAATCAGTGTTCAATTTTTATATTAGATACCTATATGGCTGTCTTGAAAACGTGAGTCAAATTGTGTACCGGGAGAAAATGAGCATTATCTTGCAATTCCAGATCCATATGTTGCTGGCTCAACTGCCGGTGGTAAAAAAAAGGGAGGGGGGTGAGAATTCAGTGCATTTACGTATGGTTTAACCATATTTTTGTGAATTCATAAAACCATGGTTATGAAATTAAAAATAAAATGCTCCCTTGCAGCTTAAGGATTTTTTTGAACTGGTATGGTGAGATTAATAACTAAATTGAGGCAATGGCATTCAGTTCTAAATGTAATGCTTTGAACCAAGTAATGCTTGGAATACTGTGCAATTCACTCAATTTTGTGCCGAAAAATAGATTAAAAGTTCAAGCACCGGTTCTTGACATTTGAGGACTTATCTGTAACAATAGCGGATGTGAAAAATTACCTTTGCGACACACATTCAAAAAACTGTTTTGGCGTTGAGAAAATTTTGAGAAAATACTTGAGATGTGATCTTCGAGGTCTGTACATTATGCCAGAGCCAAACATATTAAATTTTTGTGTGAACAAAACAGTTTTTTAAGCGTGTTTCGAAAAGGTAATTTTTCACATCTGCTATTGTTACAGATAAGTCCTCATTTATTTATTTTTTTCATAGAGCAACGTCTAACTTGAAAGCGCAGACCTTTAAAATTACAAGTTAAAAGAGAGAAAAAATGAGGCAATGATTCAAGTCCCACCTGTGAAATAAGGAGCTATCGCATAACTTGATTCCAAAACGGGGCTTCGAAATAAACACTCCGTAGTTTTCACTTCTAAATCCGCACCATTTTCAAATCTTATCAACCAAAAGGGCACTCCCAATTTTGAATTTCACAAAATCACGCCCCGCAAATCCACAAGAGCTTTTTCGCAGCGAAACTGAGTCCGTCGATATAACTGCCAAACGTTTCGGGTCGTTTGAATCACAATCAAATCATCAAAAACTGATTCAGTCACTGGACGTCACCAACGGAAGCTTTGGAAATCTTCCAGGGAGCCTATTTCACTTCACACACTGATTGAGCTTCTGCTTTAAAATCGATTAAATTTTTGAACGATCAAAAACAACAATCTTTCTAAAATTCGATCGAACGTAAAAACTTCGACGAGAATGTGGGCTGACGATAGAGAAAATTATGCGATGTGAGATCCCTTTGTTTACAAAAAAACATACGAAGTGCAGAGGCTGCGGTTTCTGTATTTCTTTAATTTTTACTAAAACGCCGTACCTGCGAACACAAGGTCAGGCTTAATAAAAATTTAATTCCACAGACCGGAAAATCGAGGGGAAACTCCGCGAGGCCAAATCACGAGATTCTTGGTTCTTCCATTTCACAAAAAATACTCGGGTGGCTTGGATGAAAACGAAGTCGAAAATCCGCTGGAACGCAAAAACTCGGGGCGAATCACGAGATGTTTTTTCACGAAGCATTCGAAAACATCGTAATCGCAGATATTCGGGTGGCCTGGATAATAATATACTTCCCGACACGGAAATTCGAAGTTGGAGTCGGGAAAACTGGGCGCGAATCACGCTGGTTGGAGGGACGACGCGGTGGCGCGAGACACGTGGGAAACACGCGGAGCGCGACACGTGAGGCGGACTGCTCGACAAGCGTGAACCTCTTCGCCGGAGAGACCGCGGACAACTGGCCCGCTGGCGGACGGCGGGCCGGCGATGCCCAAGACGAAAACGGGCTCGCGCGCGGCGCCCACCAGAATTCCGCTAGAATCCACCCGCGCCCACCGCCACGTCGCGTCGAACCCTCCCGTCGTAGCCAAAAGAGTAGTTAGCGCCAAGATGAAATTTTCACAAAACCAGCTCTCAAGCGTTAGACTGGAAAATTTCATTGCAAGAAGCCTCCAGTGCTGCCATTTCCCGGAATCAATTCCGAAATTCGGAACTTTTCAAATAATTGGAATTTTTACCAGAATCTTCTGAATATCCCGGAATTCTCAGCTACTTTCGGAATTTCCTCGAAATTTGCGGGTATTCGCCAGTTTGACCATTTATTTGATCAAACCTAGGGGCATTTTGATCGAATATGACGATCTTCGGAACTAAATCCGGGCGTATTTCGGAATTTTTTTAAAAAATCTGCGCGGAAAAAAATTGCTGATTCAACAATTCAATTGCTAAAAACAGTGAGTGCAATGTTTCAACGCAGATTTTACAACAAAAAATGCTACTTTAACCACAATGTAAACTAATTTAACCACGGGGGTGGTTAAAGTAGCATTTTTTTGTTGTAAAATCTACATTGAAACATTGCACTCACTGTTTTTAGCAATTGAATTGTTGGATCAGCAATTTAATTTTTTTCCGTGTGAATTTTCTCAGAACTTTAGCAAATCGGGATATGTTTCCGGAAATCGGAATCTTTTGATAAAATAAAATGGCAGCACTGGAAACCTCCGTTCTTGTCAAATGTGCCAGTTGCGCTGGTCACAGAATCGTGTTTTGATGCTTGATTCTTGCAGATCGATTAAACTTAATATGATCTGTCCAAACAGCGATTTTCCAACTTCAACATTAACCGAGATATCGCACCTTGAAAAACTCGTTTCATATGACGCCATCAGATAGTGCATACGATGTTATGCACAAGTTCGGTCGATGACGTCATGAATCGAGTTTCTCAAGGCGCGATATCTCGGTTAATAGTGAACGGAGGAAGTTGCTGTTTGGACAGATCTTATTATTTTTGACTGATCTACAAGAATCAAGCATCACAATACAATTCTGTGACCAGCGCAACTGACCCAGTGACCCATTGCCACTAATCATCCGAGAGACCCTTGGATATCGTTTGGATGATTCAAAATCGACCGATTTCATTTCAATTACATAAAAAGGGTATTATTAATTTTCATGTTCGGCAAAACAGCCGTCGGTGCTATCTTCGGCATGCTATCGTGGCTGCGTTTTGGACACACAACAAACACATCTTCAGGTTAGAAATAGAAGAGGAGGGCGGCACTTAACTTGAAAACACTGTTATCATTGGCGATCCAGGATTGCGCGAAAGGTCTACGAAAGTACATCAGGATTACGCGAAAAAGGCACTAGGATTGCGCGAATAGAAATCTTAACATCTTCAACAGGAATGCACGAATGTAGAATGAAGCTACTTTAAGATAGAAGTTTGGAAAAACAGGAAAACGCAGAAAAAAAAAACGCAAACGCATAACGCGGAAATAAACGCATTTTTATGTTGACGCTAGTTTAGGTTAGTTTGTTGACGAGTCATCGATGCCTCCGACCTTCCGATGCTATAAAAAGATTGAATAATGGTTAAGGGTATAAAGAACTTTCCTAACTTTTCTCGGGAAAAATATTCAATCGAGAGAAATGAGGCAACGTTGGAATACTCATAACGGCGTCGCAACACATGGGCCTTTTAAGCTCTATTCTGCCATGCTAAGGAAAAACGCCGTATGAACATTCGATAGATACCAAAATTCTCCGAATAAAACATGTATTTTTGAAGAAAGTTATGCGTATTTTTCCTTAAAATGTTCCAATATCTTAATATTTAATTTGAAAAATAGAATGAAATTGTGAATCAACCACTGTACTAATTGCAAGGGGCGTTGGTTCATTTGAAAGGTGTTGTTCTCAATGCTTCGGGAAAACTATAAATTATTTTCTGGGGTTCGTCCCCGATTTTTAAATCCCTAAAAACTCATAAATTGGATGAGGGGAAGTGGGGGTTTTTTGTTTTTTGTTTTTCGGAAAAGTTTTGTTGCTACGCATCTTACTTTACTGTTTGCTGTCTTTTTATCAGCTGTTTTCATTCAACAATCATCATTAAGTGAGGTTATTTCCAACACTCAACTGCCATCAACTTACATTTTTCTTTTCCCGCGTTTTTTTTTACGGTTTTTCATGATTGGTTCCATCTTTTTCCTGTTGCCAATTTTTCCTCATTAAGTCAATAACATCCAAGTTTTTTTTCTCATTTCCGATCACAACTTTTCACGCCGTTTTTTTTCAATGTGTATAAATATGTTTATTATCAATTTCCATTTTCATTTCATCCTTTTTCTTCTGATTTATTTTTTTTAATTTAAAAATTGAACTTTTCAGTTATGATTTTGTTAAAATAATAATAATTTTTACTAATTTTAATTTTAAATTTAACAGTTGTTATGAGTGAAATCTTCAATGACCGAGGCGGTCGTCCTCCAAAACGTGGTCGCGTTTTCCAGAATTCTTCGCATGTTCGTTTAGTGAAGCAAGAACTTAACTCTGTTATTAGTATAGAAAATCAAAGTTTCATTTCTTCATTTCGGAAGTATAAAATTGATGATCAGAACTTTGATGAAAATTTTGTTACCAAATTTTCAGTCGGTTCAATGAATATAATTTGTCATCATTGTGATGCTCGCCATTTTCAGGGTGAAATGTCCAATGGTCATTTTAATAACTGCTGCCAAAATGGCTTAATTTCTTTACCGAGTATTCGGACAAATACCGATTTGAAATCATTATTTTTATATTCTCCAAATTTCATAAAGCATATCAGAAATTATAATAGTGCTCTTGCTTTTGCCTCTTTCTCTGCAAATCGAATTGATATTCCGGGTGGTGGACCTTATTGCTTTAAAGTTCAAGGATCCATATATAGGTAAGTTTATTTAATATTTACCGTTACGTAACGTACTTTTTTCAGTTTCTCAGTCCGTCCCTCCCTCCTGCCCACCCCTTAACGCATCCGGAATGCAGCTGCATTCCGGATGCACACGAAGACTTGGGAAAAACCATTTTTATCAAACAAGTTAAGCTAGGAACATACATGGGTAATAAACAACTGACTCATATGTGGAATAGTAAGATAACGAAACAAGAAAAAGATAACATACCAGCAAATACGGAAACCAGAAAGCAGACTGAACATGGAAAAAACGAAGAAGAAAAAGCGGAAAAATTAGATGAAGTTAAAACAGGAGCAGAAAAAGAAGAAGAACCAGAAGGAACAGCTACTGAAGAAGAAAAAGAAGAAGCAAAAAAAGAAAAGACAAAAGGACGAAAGAAGAAGAGCAAAGTTGTAGGAAATATAGGAAGAAAAGCAGGACAGAAATGGCAAAAGAAGAATCAACAATTTAATCGAAAAAAAGCAAAGTATTTAAAAAATAAAAAAAGATCTTCTTTCAAATTAGTTTGAAAACAAATGTAAAACCTAAAAAATAATTTTGTATGAAGATTAAAACAAAATTTTAGTTTAAAGTTTACTAAATAAAATTACAATTTTTGAAAACATTTGTTATATTTATTCTCTCAAAGAAATAATTAGACCCGATTCAAAGACAAAACAGAAAATTAAATGAAAATAAATAAATAAAAAAAAAAAAAAAAAAAAAAAAAAAAAAACATGTGAAAGTGAAAAGTGTACAGGAAAAATAAGGGGCTGCGAAGCAGCCCCATAAGCCCCTAGTTTTAGATTAAATTGGGAACGAAATTATCTGGAAAATTGGAAGAAAAATATTCAGAATTTTCCCAGTAAATTCGTTGGTTATTAAGGGAAATATGACACCGCCTGAAGGCTCATACGGTGTTTTTCCTTTGCACGGCAGTATTATTCGATGCCGCGATTATTCCAACGCGAGTTCGAATAATCGCGCCGAACGCAGTCTTGCGGCCGGCGTTAAACGTATATTAGCGCCTGCAAGACTTCAGAAATACTTCACGCATTGAGCCAAACAGTGCGGTCGACCTCAAGCCCATATTAGCGCCGACAAGACTGCATGAATACTTCTCGCATTGCGCCAAACGCAGTGCAGTCGGTCAATTGGCGTGAAACACATATTAGCGCCTACAAGACTGTAGGAATGCTGTAGGACTGCGTGTCGTCATTCTTGACTTTCTGCTCCAGTTTTACCATAATTAAAAGGAAAATATGTATCCTTATTGTAAAGATTCAGAAACTCGAATGATATTTAATTTTTTTTGGTTCGGTACATTAAAAGAAAATAAAACGAACGAAAATATCGCTTCAAAATCTTCGATACTTATACTTAAGATCATATAGATAATTCACGGAAACTTTTCAGAAAAACTGACTGTAGCTGTTAGCCCTCGTGGCCTATTTGAAGTAGTAAAAAAAAAATAAATAAATAAAAAAAAATTCCATTTCTAAAGTTAACCTGCTGAACTTAACTCGAGTTTTGCAGAAATAGTCTATGTCTTCATATTTTTTTAATGTGTTGATGCACAGCGTTATGGCAGTAGTAATTTATGTGTTTCATTGTGTTATTCGATAGCCAGTGGTACGGATTAAATGAAGATGAACTCACATTAAAATAGATGTATTTATCTAATGTTGTGAATTGGACTATTTCTATCAAACGGAACTATGTGCATTAAGACATGAGCCCTGAGACCCATAAGAGTATATGCATAACATAGCTCACTCCATAATTCACATAGTTCCGTTTGGCAGAAATATGTCCGATTGAAAACGTCGAAGTTTGAATTGAGATGAAAATCGGTGATAGTTTTTAATATAGACGACGCCGGAATCAAATTAAAGTTTGAGAGAAACATACGAGCACGCTCAGTTCATATCACATGCGACAAACGCTAACTGAATTTTATTATAGCGCCTGGATGCAACTATTCGGCTTCCAAGGATGTCCCTGTTGCATACACTCAGGGAA